AAGGAACTGAACTTTGTAAATGTGATTAAATTAAGGGTCTTGAGATGGTGAAGTATCCTGGATTATCTAAGTGGGCCCTAAATATAATCACAAGAGTCTTGATAAACAGGAGGAAGAGGGCCTCCCTGGTGGCGCAAGTGGTTAAACATAGCACTGTGAAGCTATCCACAGCCTCTGCAGCAGCCTCTGCAGCAATCCCCGGCCAGGGAGGTGACCCACATGGTGCAGCAGACCTCTCCTGTTTCTCCCGCTGCTCCCCTCAGCAGTGTATTTCGGTCAGTCTGCCTGTTCTGCTCTCCACTCTGTCCCTGGTGAATCCTCTCAACCCCCACACCTCTGGCCTATATCCCAGTTCTTGTATGCATAAATAAATAAATCTTTAAAAAAAAAAAAGAGGGAGGAGGAGAAAGAGTTGATGACAGAAGAGGATAAGGCAAGGTGAAGATGAGAGCAGTGAGTGATGCACTTCTTTTAGAAGGTCAAAAGAAACTGATAAAGTTCTAGCTCAAACTAAATCTATATTTACTGTTAACCTTTTCATGATAATATCCAGGACCTTCTACCGAAATTTATAGCAGGAAAACCCACATAAAAATTATTTATTTATAAAATTCCTCTGAATTCTGCTTATTATATTGTCCTGACAGTTGAACGTAGACTAATCAATTACTTGTCTTCTTCACGTACTCCTGTGTGTATGAGTGTATGCTTCTTGGCAGTCTTTTCCAAACTGAGCACAAGTTTCCACTTGGCAAACTGCCCTACTCATGACCTAGATTCAGATGCGCCATGGAGCAAGGCTCAATCAAGCTATTGAGGCACCTTTCTAAAGTGGTACAGGTAGAGATTGGGCATTTTCCTTGGATTATAGGATGTTATTTATACTACCAAAGAGGTCTTGACACCAAGACTTTTTTTCTATAATTAACTTCAATTATTTTTTTTATTATTTTTTTTTATTGAGGTAACATAGGTTTACAGCATTGTTTGATTTAGAGGTATAGGGTCTCCCCTTCAGATGTTGGGAGGGGGGAGGATTATGGAAACACCCATAATCCTTCACCACAGCCCACTGCGCTCCCCACTCCCAACCTGTGTTCTTCGCACCCCCCCCCCAATCTTTGGTAGCCTCAGTTCTACTGTCAGATTTCCAGGCCCAAATCTTACCACTCCTGTGAATAGAAAAGAAGTTAAATGTGAAATAACCTAAAATATGTGCTTCCTTTGAGTTTAGTTTACCCTAGCTATTGTCCATCAGATGCCATTTAAGCATTTAACACGGAATTGTAGACGTTTTTCTTAGATGTAGATGGCTTTCTAAATTGGTCCATAGAGGACCCCTTCCCTAGTGCAAATATTCCTTGTACCCCACTTCTGCATTCAGGTCTCTGGGAGTACATTTTAACCATTGAAATGCATTGGTAAAAAATGTTCTTTTTTTTTTTTTTGACTGAAGGGAATTTTTGTTTTTAAGATTTATTTATTTATACAAAAATTGGGGTATAGGCAGATGAGCGGGAGGGTGAGAGGATTCACCAAAGACAGAGCGGGGAGCAGAACAGGCAGACTGCTGAAATACACTGCTGAGGGGAGCAGTGGGTGAGTCGGGAGAGGTCTGCTGCGCCGTGTGGGATTCTCACTGGCCGGCTGGGATTGAAACCCACACTGCAGAGACTGCGGACAACTTCACAGTGCAGCACTCAACCACCTGTGCCACAAGGAAGGTCCCGCTTATAAATGTTCTTTGTGAGTCCTTGGATCATGTATTTATTGAGGCATCCCAGTTCTGTGTTTTGAGGGAGCTGAGTCTGGATCAAGTTTGGCACAGGGTAGAGAAAAGGATGTGTTTTTGACTCACACAGTCGTGGCTTCAGATAGCATTCCTGCCACTCCTTAGCCCCATGACCTTGGACAAATGTTTCAACTTCTCCTGTTTCCTTAATTGTAAAATAGGAGTAATAGCACCTTCATAGTGTTGAGGTGACTATATAGAAGAAGGTAAAAAGCTTATCTTAAACGTTCTTGTCCCACATTTGAAAAATGGGAACTGAGGTGATGGATGTGTTAAATAATTTTATTGGGATAATCATTTGTCAATAAATACTTATTTATGTACATCACAATGTACACCTTAAACTTTTTTGTTACTATATTGTTGTTCATTTTTGTACAATATTTGATTTCTCCCCTCATGTAGTCCCCATAATTTTCCCAACACCATGGTACACAGACCATCACCATAGTCCCTTGTGCTCTTCCCTCCTGTTTTGACTGCTCTGCCTCCCGCTCCCCTGCTGTAGGCCTCAGATCTTTGGTTTGCCTGCCAAGTTTTGTCTTTTTCCTGATCCTTTCTTCGGTTGCCCTATATTCCCCCCATAAGTGAGATCATCCGATATTTTTCTTTTTCCTTCTAATTTATTTCACTGAGCATAATCCCTTCCAGCTCCATCCATGTTGCCGCTAATAGCATGAGTTTATCTTTTTTGATTGCTATATCTTCTTGATCCATTTATCTGTTTGGGGGCATTGCGGTTGTTCCCATATCTTAGCTATTGTAAATAGTGCTACAGTAAACATAGAAGTTAAGGTTTCTCTTCAAATTAGTGTTTTTGTGTCCTTTGGGTATATTCCTAGGAGTGGAATTGCTGGATCATGTGGTAGATCCATTTTTAGTGTTTTAAGGACCCTCCACACAGCTTTCCATAGTGGTTGGACCAGTTTGCATTCCTACCAGCATTGTAAGAGGGTCATTTTTTTCTCACATCCTTGCCAGCATTTGTTGTTGCTAGTTTTTTTTAAATATGGGCCATTCTCATTGGTGTACACCTTAAACTTACATATGTCTTGAAAACTGGGAAATGGAGGTAAGACAGGCCCAGAGGTGACAGAAGATACATGTTATTGTATACACAGCTTCAGTATAGCCCACCAAAACCTCGTGATAAGATATTTATAGGTATGGCACCTTAAGGAAAGTGATATTGTTTCACTTTTCAGGAATTCTATCTATTAAATCTACCAGATATTTTATGATCTAAAGACAATGGCATGATTTCTAAGTGACAAATATTATTTAACTATATTACAAAAATATAAGTATGATTCAGTCACATCAATAATGAAAAAATAATAAATTCTACTAGTAGATTTGAGACAGATATGAAAAAAAAAAAAAAAAAAAAAAAAAAAACCAAACCAGAGGGAACTTTTAAAAAAATCCACAGCCATTTTCCAGAATCAGAACCAAGGAAATGTCCTTTCATATTTTCATACTTAGCCAATGCCAAGTAAACACCCACCTTGGCTCCTTCTCCTTTCATGTATGGGCTTTTCAAAGACTAACTACTAACAGGTGACTGAATTTGGCACAGACCACAGATTTTCATTTGCATTTCTGAGACACTATTTTTAAAAATCAGGTGAGACAGAAAATGAATTCTGCTACTTATGTTTAAGTCTATTGTTTTGTAGTGGAAACATGAAATGAAGTTTCTTAAACTTAGGAACTTCTATTACTACATATTTGAAAATCAGGGACTTAGTTCAAACATCTTAGTTTGTAGGTGATGAAGATGCAGTCCAAATAAGGCCCTGAAGCCAGCCAATAGCAGAGGCAGTACTAAGATTCAGGTTCTCTAACTTCTCTCAGGCTTTGTGGTTTCTAAATAGTTATAGTGGAGAGGGGACAATAACACGGGGGCAGACAGAAGCTCTGAGCTGGTCATGTGTGTTAATCACAGAAGGAGGAGGTAGTTGGTATGCATTATATTTCAGGACCAACCCTTCACCCTTCCCCTAATGTCTACAGTATAGATATGGGATAATAATGGATAATTTGCTCTTGAAATTTATATACAGGAAATCAGGGCTATTCTTGATAAAAGTTGTAAAGATTCTAGCAAGATTTTCAGAAGTGGAACAGTGGTTTTTAAAGGGAAAATGGCTTTGTAGAACACACACTCTTTATTTAACACAACTATGTAAGTAAGGTGTGATTAAAGGCTAAAGAGCTCATAATTATCCCCTTTTAAAGAATAATGAACTTGCCAGCTTATTTTAAATATGGAGCATAGACAAGTGACATAATTCAACTTGATATTAATTATAACAAAAATTTAAAACTACATGATTCTGTATTTCTAATTAATCTTTAAATACAAAATATTTCAAATTTTGCACAAATGATACAGGCTAATGCTTAACTGGATTTGGATAAAGTCCCACGAACCAAATTATTCCTTATGTGTATTTAAAAGGAATGTGTGGGCCTGCCCGGTGGCGCTGAGCGCAGTGCTGTGAAGCCATCCGCAGCCTCTGCAGCACGAGTTCAAGTCCCAGCCGGCCAGGGAGATACCCACAAGGCACCGGAGACCTCTCCTGTCTCGCCCGCTGCTCCCCTCAGCAGTGTTTTTGGTCCTTCTGCCTGTTCTGCTCCCCGCTCTGTCTCTGGTGGATTCTCTCACCCTCCCGCGCCTCTGGCCTGTACCCCAGTGCTTGTCTAAATAAGCAGATCTTTAAAAAAAATAAATAAAAAAATAAAAGGAATGTATGTTGTTACAAAGTCATTGGGGTACTGGGTTGAAGGGGAGGATCAAGGGGGAATGCTTAGCGTTTGTCCCTACTGAGCTCTTAGCTTATCGCAGACTGAGGGTGGCAGAGTGTCTTGGTGGGGGGAACGTACATGCTCTGTTCTGGTTTCTTCTCTAAATACCCTGAAGCTCACTTTTCGGATGTGCTCCTTTCTAACATTTAGAAAGGGCTTTTCTTGGCTGCCAGGAAGCAGGGAGCAGGGCTGTGGCGAGTGATTATCTGCGAGCAGCCAGGCATAAGCTCAGAAGCTTTGGAAAATTTGGGAAGGGGGGGACAAAGAGGCAGATTCTTCTTCCTTTTGTGGACTAGGGGAGAGAGTGCTTGCTGACATTTGCCTGAGTATGAAAGGAGGAACACAGATTTGAAAGTTTTATAGTTGTATGTTGAAACAGCTTCACACCGATATTGAAAACAAGAACCGGGCATTGTAAACACACCTTTATTTAAAATTAAGATTTTTGAAACAACTATACTTAGAGTGGCATCATAGGTGTCAGCTAAATAAGAGATAGTACTTAAGTTTAACCTTTGGAGGTTCTTTTTAAAGCACCACTTAAAACTTACATATTCTCCAAAAAATTAAATATAGAAAAATTTTTCTCTCTCAGGAATGAGTTTGAGAAAACATAAGGAAACAACAAAGCCAATTTTTTAACCTCTGCTTATTGATACTAACTTTGAATGCTCAAGTCAAAGCCATTTTGAGAATTTCCTACATTGTTCATTTAAAGTAAACCATATGCAGAGTTATCAGAGTCTTGGTCCATTAAGATCTATAACTGGTCACATAGAAGGTCATCAGCCAGATGAGCTCCACAATTTTAATTTGTCACACAAAAAAGTATAGGATTTGCAAGTATTTTATTTTATTTTTTTGGAAAATTTGAGAAATGACCACAATCACCACACACACAAAAATTGGACTAGTTTTAACAATCTCTGAAAACCTTAAGTTGTAGATTTTGAGACTAATTTCCAAACAAGGTAGAATAAAAGCAATACATAAGTCAACTACACTGCTTAAGTAGCTTAAATTTGCCAAGACATCTTCAGAGTAGGGTCTTTTGCACTAATTTCCCTGAAGAATCTCTAGGTCATTTTCTGGTTTTCACAACAAAGGACCTTTAAAAATCACTTTAAAAATCACTTTAAAAATCACTCTTAGGTGTTGGCTCTGCCAGCTCAACTTTTTCTACACATCCCCAGTCCCCAATATAACAGCACTAGTTGTTAGTGACTGTCTGGCTTACTCTTCATCCCTGCCTTATCGCTTGTTCAGTCGCTTCTCATACTTCTCGTGGCTGCTATGCTTCCTGGGTGGAGAAGCTCTGGCGGTGTCTCTGGCCTGGAAGTTGTGCTTGTAAGGGTGGGCTCTGTGCTTCTTCCGGTTTTCTTCTTTCTGGTTCTGGCTTTTTGCAGGTTCCTTGCTGCCTTCTCTTTGTTCATGGTCTTGCTCTTTATGGGAAGGTAGTGTGTTCTTAATTGTGTTAATTAAAAATCTTTTATTGGTACCAGCAAGAGGACACTTCATCCTGGGGAGTGAAAGGGGAGGAAGAAAACAATCACAAATCAAATAGTTTATTCTAAAGCTGAACCCACTGATTGTGGTTAGTGCCAAAGAATTCAGTTTCTACAGAATTAGGTTTTTGAATTTGTTCAGCTTTCCTTGCATGCCACCTAGTGTAAACTCTGAGCACATGGGGGAAAAGAATCAAGACACTTGGAACTTCTAAGACAGACTGGCTAGACCTTAGATCTGAGTATCTAAGCCCTATCTTCCTAATGTGACTAACTTCCCTACCAATCTATGTACAGGGTCACAACCACAATGTGAATTAAGTCATTACTTTCCCCTCAAGTAAGGAGCGCATGATTTGACTATTATCTGCACTTTGAGTTAAATTTATCACAGCTTTTAATTACCAAAAAGCAGAAATAAACCCCTCTCTGAGGAACAAGAAAAGCATATCCTGCTGTATCTTGAATACCCAAGCTAAATGATCTACTCCAGAAATTAAATTGTCCAAAGAATCCATAAAAATGCAGTAATCACTTTTTACCTTTAAAACGTTCTTACAGTTTATGTTGTATCAGGCAGCACTTTTATCCATCTACTCTTCTGCGTGAATTTCCGTACAGTGTATATTTAAGTATATAAATGACTCAAGCTCACCCATGGAGGCAGGGTGTAACTAAATTGTTAATTAACATCTTAAATATACTCATATACCATGGTATTTGTTTTATTTTTCGGGTGTAATAAAATTACATTTTGGAAAACACCACACAAAAACCCCTGCATGTTTTTCTTTGTTTTGAGTGATAAGTTTATGATTTAACTATAATCTGCACTTTGAGTTAAATTTATCACAGCTTGCTTCTAATTAGGAGGACTCTTATAGGAGGATGCTGATGTTGCTGATCCCCCAAATCATGTTACTTGGGTGGCTGTCATTAAACAAAAATGAATATAGTATTCTATAATCTTCATCTTTCTATTAAATTTTGATTCAAAGAGAATCCCACACAATACTTCAAGGTCAATTCACCAGCATGCCACTGTCCTGATTTTATTGCTTGGTGCTGTTTAAGGGAAACAGAAGCAGTCATCAGTCTGACATCATTTATATGGGGCAGACCTCCTTGGGTGACCAGAATGGCAGTGAATGTGGAAGTAGAAGGAGCAAAAACAGAAAATGCTTCCCACTGCAAATAAACAACTCTTGAGCTACACAGAGAAAACATCTGAAAAAAATCAAAGATGGTGCTGACATCCAAACCACTGTGGGTAATACTCAGACCAGGAAAAGTGACAGGGGAATGAACTAAACAAGGAAGAAAAGAATGGAGAAAGAAAAGGCCACAGAGTACAGCAGAAGCAGCAGGGATACTTAGAGGTGTTTATAGCACAGGAGTTTTTGTTTTTCTATTAACACTGGAGTTTAAAAGTCACAATGAGATGAGGGACAAAGAAAAACACAGCACTGCAAGTAGCAGGGGTCACAAAACAATTAAGTTCCCTGTCGTCCTACAGGGCTGCACTGAGCTTCTAGAAAACAGTAGACCAGTGTTATGCTATCTCAGTAGTGCAAGACAAAGGCATTTCTACCTCCTGGAAGTACATCAGCATTAGGCTGACTTAGAACCTTGGGCATGTTCTACAAATATCCCTATTTCCTCTTATCTGTTAAATGGTGATAATAATAGTGACAATCTTAAAGAGCTGGATGCAGATTAACTGACTTAATCACTACTCAATAAGAATAACAATGATGCTAATTTTTTAAACATTTATAAAACAATTAATTACCCCATGCAATTACATTGCCAACGTTAACTCATTTCATTTCTCCACCATTATCCATTTATAGATGGACAGAAGAGGAAAAGCAATTTATCCAAGATCCCAAGCCAGCAGGATGTGGGACTGGCATTGGAACCATTTTTCCTTCCTCACTATCCCAGATGGGACAGAAGAAGATTCAGTCAAAGTAAATGGTATACCAAGGGATTTTACTGTAACAGAATATTAAAAGTCCACATTTGAGAAAAGAATGTTAAGACTCTCACTTGTTGAAGTTACTTGCAAAGTTTTGATGCAGTATTAAAGAATACTACAATTTTCTGAAAAGGCCATTGTAATGCTTCTTCCTTTTCCAAATACATATTTGTATGAGTTTAGATTTTCTTCATATTCTTTAACCAAAATAACATATTACAACAGATTGACTGAAAAAGCAGACATAAATTCCAGGTTCCTTTTGTAAGTCAGACATTAAAGAGGCTTGCAAAAATATTAAACATTGTCACTCTTAGTACATTTTGCAAATATGGTTATTTTTATTAAAAATATTATTTAGCTTAATGTATGGGCTCTATGGGTTCATTATTGTTATTTTTAAATAAATTAATATATAAATACTTTAAAAATTGCTCTATTTAGGATGCCTCAAGGGAAGTTCCGGACCTCAAAGTGACTATTTTCAAGCTGGTCTCCGGAATCTTATTTTAGGAAGGCATCACTCCCAGAAGAATAATCTGAAAGTTAATAACCTAGAGGGTTCCACAGCTTGAGGTGAAACTGGAATACCTACTGGACATTGAAGACCAGTATGAACTGCACCAGAGGAGACACTGAAGAGATTATGTTTCATTAAGTAAGAGGTGGGTGGAAAGAGATGTCTGGAAGGTGTGGACCCTGGTGGGAAGCTGCCTTATGAACCATACATAGTTCTTGCACCTGGCCAGTGGCCCTGGGGAGGGAAGAACTCAGTGATATAGAGGTATACATCATTCACTGAGAGAAGACCCATGCAAAAGAAAGAGCTGGGGACTTCCCAGTAGGCCAGATTCCCAGTAAAGAGAACAAGGACAATGTAGTGGGCTGAACTCACTTCCCCCACTCCTCAGGACTGGTACTGACCTTGTGGAGCTCACTGACAGTGCACAATTTGCAGAGATTTGTGTATGGAGTCCCAAAGTAGGGGGAGGGGATATAGGAGGTACCACACACACAAGCCAGCATTCTCCCACCAATTCCTCAAGCATCTGGACCCCTCCAGGTACTCCCCATCCACCTAATTCAGCTGCTGCAAGATCAGGTCTCCACATCTATGGAGGCTCAGAAATGCCAGTGGTCAAAAATTATATAAAGCTGGGAAAAGCTTAAAAACCCACAGTGCCACCTACTGGAAAAGTAGAAGTACTGCAAATCTCTAAGTTACTGCTAGAGTCAATCAAAAAAAAAAAAAAAAAAAAAAAGAAATTGAAAGCAGCAAAACGAGCAGATGGAAAAATATAACACATGGTACCTTTACACCGCAAGAGATATGTAGTTTCAAGGAGAGAATAAGCACCTAGAATCCAACCACAAAGATATAGTAGGTTTTTTTTTTTTTTTTAAATTTTTTTTTTTTTTTTATAGAGGCATGTTTTATTTATTTATTTTATCTGTTTGTTTTTGTTTTCACATGCACTGGGTACAGTCAGAAGCATGGGAGGGTGAGAGAATTCACCAGAGCCAGAGTGGGGAGCAGAGCAGGCAGAGGGACCGAAGCACACCGCTGAGGGGAGCAGCGTGCGGCAGGAGAGGTCTGTGCACCATGTGGGACCCTCCTCCAGTGGCCGGGGAGCAGCCGGGGATCAAACCGGCGCCGCAGAGGCCGCGGGCAGCCTCGCAACCCAGCGCTCAACCGCTGCGCCACCGGGGAGGCCCGATATAGTAGGTTTTATCCTCCAATTGGATACAGAGTTCAAGATCATGGTAAATTATCTAGAATCCAACCACAAAGATATAGTAGGTTTTATCCTCCAATCGGATACAGAGTGCAAGATCACGGTAAATTCAAAGAACTGGAAGAAAATTCAGAAAAAAGAATGATCTGAGAGATAAAATTATGAACATAAAGTATAAGTTGAAGCTCTGAATAAGAAAATAACAGAGATGCAGAGTGTAAAAAGGTGAATGAGGGAGATAAAAAAATTCTGGAGAAAGCTATGGAAACAGAATAGACCAAATGGAAGCTCAAATCAATTTTAATTTGAAGATGATAACGCACAAAGGAGACAAGTGGAAGAAACAAACAAAGAACAAGCTGAAGAAACACTTCAATTATTTGACTCCATTAGAAAAGATAAAATAAGGATAAAATAAAGATAAGTATTACAGAAGGAGAATAGACAGAGAAGGGTACAGAGATCTTACTCAAAAACATAATAGAGGAAAACTAACCAAGCCTGGGGAAGGAAAAATAAAAGTCCATTAAGCTAAAAGAATGCTTGGTTATCTAAATATAAGGTGACCTATACCAAGACACATAGTCATGAAACTTCTAAGAGTTCAAGACAAAAAAAAAATATTGATGGTGGCTAGGGGAAAAAAAGTAGATATCCTACAAGGGCACTCCCATCAGGCTTACATCAGACTTCTCTGAATCAATCATAAAAGCAAGGAGAGAATGGAACGACATATTCAAAATGCTTACAGATTAAAAATTGTCAGCAAAAACTATAGTACCCTACAGGACTCTCTTTCAGATATAAGGGAGAAATAAATATATTCCCAGACAAACAGAAGCTAAAGGAATTTGCAAACAAAAGATCTTCTGTACAACAAATGTTGAAAGGAACTCTCCTATTGAATTCAAAGAGAAGAAAACCCAAAAAACAAAACAAAACAAAAAAAACCTGAACAAGGAAATAGAACCAGAAAACTAAAAACAAATGGATAGTAGCAAATCCTCATTTATCAGTAATCACGCTAAATCAAAAGGTACAGAGTGGCTGGTTGAATTTGAAAACAAAACACAACTTTCTGATGTCTCCAGGAGAACTATCTGAACTCCAAAGATAAATATAGGCTCAAAGTAAATGGTTGGAAAACAATCCTACAAGCAAATAGGACTCCCCCCAACCTAAAAGACAGGGACAGCCAAATTCATACCAAAATAGATTTCCAGTTAAAAATGGCAACAAGAGACAGAGATGGTAATTATAGAATGATTAAGGGAACAATACATGAGGAAGACAACATTCATCAGTATGAAGTTTTCTCACAATACTAAAAATAGATCTACCACATGATCTAGCAATTCCACTCTTAGGAATCTACCCAAAGAATGCAAAAACACTAATTTGAAGGTCTCTATGCATTCCTGTGTTCATTGTGGCACTGTTTACAATAGTCGAGCTATAAAAACAACCTAAGTGCCACAAATAAATGACTGGATCAGGAAGATGTAAAAACTACTTAGAAATCAAAAAAGATGAGTTTTCATGCCATTTCCACCAAATGGATGGACCTGGAAGGGATAATGCTAAAGGAAAAAAGTAAGGAGAATGACAAATTCTGGATGATGTCACTTATATGTGGAATATAGAGAAACAAAACAAAGGATCAGATAAAACCAAACTAAGAACTAGCCCTAGAAAGCTGACTACAGAACTGAGGCTACCAGAGGGGGAGGGGGAGAAGGGAAAACTAAGTGGGGAGGGATCACAATGGACCTGAGTGGTGGACAATGGCTGTTTTGGTGGTGGCTGCCAGTAGTAACAACAACTGAAGGGGGAGATCCTATACTTCTAAAACACCAACAGCAATGTAAAACAAGGCTACATTCCTACAAACACACACACACGTAAAATCAGATTTACTGAGATAAAACTTATATTGAATAAAATTTATGCCTTTACAGAAACAGTTGGGCAAATACATGAAGTCATGTAATTACCAACAATCAAAATATAGAACATTTCCATAACCCAAAAGGTTCTGCAGTAACTTCCTTCCTTCCTTCTACCTCTACCTCCTGGCAGCCAGTGATCTGTTTTTTGTCTCAATAGTTTTTGGCTTTTCTAAATGTCATATAAATGGAATCTTACACTGTGTAATGTTTTGTGTCTGGTTTCTTTCACTTAACATAATGCTTTTGAGGTTAATCCATGCAATATGTATTAGTAATTCTGTTTCTTTTTATAATTAAATAGTATTGAGTGTAGGAATACAACCGCATTTATCAATTCATCAATTGGCGGACATTTGGATTGTTTCCAGCTTTGAGTAATTATGAATAAAACTTATGAACATTACTTTGCAGATTTTTGTGTGGGCTTAAGTTTTCAGTTTGCTATAATTGGTTAGAAGAATTCTGTATGATGAGTGTATATTTATAAGAAATTTCCCATTGCTTTTCAAAGTTGCTCACACCAACGTGTGAGAATTTTTGTTATTCCATATTTTCATCTTTATTTGATAGTCATTTTTTTTTAAAGATTTATTTATTTATTTATTTATTTATACAAGCACTGGGTATAGTCAGAAGCGTGGGAGGGTGAGAGAATTCACCAGAGCCAGAGCAGGGAGCAGAGCAGGCATACTGACGAAATACACTGCTGAGGGGAGCAGTGGGCGGCAGGAGAGGTCTGTCGTGCCATGTGGGACCCTCACCAGGTGGTGGCGGGGATCGAACCGGCACTGAAGAGGCTGCGGGCAACTTGGCAGCCTAGCGCTCAACTGCTGCGCCACCAGGGGAGGCCCGAGTCATTTTTTTTTTAACTCACCACTGTACTGCATGTATAGTGGTAACTAGTTGTGGTTTTAATTTGTATTTCCCTAATTATTAATAACTGGCACTTTTCATATGTGTGTTGGTCAATACAGTATCATTTTTGGTGAAGTGTTAGTTTATATCTTTTGTCCATTCTAAAATTAGATTGTCTTACTATGAGTTGTTAAGAATTCAGATGATGATAATTTTATTTTTATAGTTCTACATTTTACAGATAGAATTCTGGAAGGAAATTTTCTTTCATCTATTATTTGGTAACCTCGAAGTGCCAGTATATATAGGGAACAGGATAAATACTTCCTCACCATTTAACAATTTCATGAATAATGATTTGGTTCTCTAGCATCATCTAACAGGGACCACTAAGTTTTCTATTATGGTTATTGTTAGAATCCTTCTCAATTCTGGAAGGTAATGTCATACCTGATGGAGATGACATTGTTTAGACTATCAGGACATACCTTAAAGTAAGGCCGGCCATGCCAGAAAAGATCAACTATGTGATTTAGGGTTGAGTTCTGAATCATGTGGTTATCAATCAATTTGGAGACATCAACCATGTGAGCAATCAATCAAACAATCAATCACGCAAGCAATGGGAACTCCTAAAAAAAAATCTCCGAACACTGAGGCTCTGGAGTGCTTTCCTGGTTGGCAATATGCCACACATATTGCCATATATGCATCACACACTGATGCTGGGAAGGAAATGTATCTGGACTCCATAAGGAGGACAAGAGGCTTTATGTTTGTAAACTTCTCAGACTATGCCCTTTATCCCATTTCTTATTTTGGCTGATTTTAATCTGTATTCTTTCCCTGTGATAAATTGTAACTGTCAATGTAGTAGCTTTCTATAAATCGTATGAGTTCTTCACACAAATTACTAAAGTTGAGGACAGTTTAGGGAAGCATTGAACTTGTGGTATTAGGAATTAAGGGCAGTTGTGAGGATTGTGACCTCTACCTTACTGTTTGGCTAAATGCAGGGACTGCTTGAGATCTGCAGTCAGTTTTTTTTTTATCAAGGACTTCTGTTTTCTTTCAGTGAGAAATGGTATTTATGTACCACTACTGGATCCCAGTGGTACTTACTGGAATCAAGTGGGTGGTCATTGTTTCTAGGACTTTTCTGGAACAGAGCTAGGAAAAACAACTCTCCTTGTTAAGAGAAAATCTAGCAGCATTTTGTACTGGTATTTCCGATTCAAATTTAGGGATGTAGGTTTTTATTTATTTGGATTTTATACTTACTTGTTATACTATTATATACTATTTTGGGAATAACAAAATCAGTATTACTTATAATAGTGACTGAAGACAAGTTAAGATTTCTTTGTAGTTCTTTTTTTGTCTTTTGGAAATACAGTCAAATATTCAGATGGTCTGAAATAGTTCTTCTATGTATGGCTAAGTTATCTACTGATTTGGCTAACTTATGTCCATTTGTTTTACTTTGTTTGATTTATAGGGACTAGTTTTTCTCTCTATTTAACTTTGTTTTATAGTTTATGGAACTCAAATGCAAATCTACAGACCATGGTATATTCAGAAGTGTAGCTTTTACTCCTATCCCATTTTTACATTGTATTTTTTAAAATGGGTCCCAGTGTTCCATAGGGTGGACAAAAGATCTAAAATCAGCATCTTCATTGAATGTAAATGCTGCTGCTAGAGTAATGTTTAAAAGAATAGTGGTAGTTCTTAAGTTCTCCCTTTGTTTTTATTATTAAGCTTTAACAAGCTCTATTATGTATAGAAACTACGATGGTTAAAATTTGTAAAACTAAAGTTCGTTTTATATAGCTTACTTGTCACATAATCAAAATATTTAAAATCATTTTGAAATAAATTTTTATTTACAAAGGACTATAACTAAAAACAGACATTCTTAAAAAAACAATAAACATGTATCAGACTCTCACACTGGGCACAGTGGGACCTTCGTAAGTCTTGGGGATTTGTGGACCAATAAGATAATAAAACTGTAAAACATATTCTCCATACACACCCCTTTGCTCACCTCCTCATGTGACGAGAATTCTTCAACATTCAGTCCTCAGCTGTATTAGCACTCCACCATTTGCCTCTTGGGTGATTTCCTCCACACCCATGATTTTCATTCCCCCTATATACTAAAAATTTACATATTTCTATTTACAGCCAAGTCTTTCTCTTTATTTTTTTTTTAAAGATTTATTGATTTATGCATCAAGAACTAGTGTGTGCAGAACAGGCAGACTGACAGAAGGACACTGCCGAGGGGAGCAGCAGGCAAGACAGGAGGGGTCTGCTGTGCCATGTGGGTAGCTCCCTGGCGGGCGGGAGATCGGGGATCGAACTCGGCTTTACAGTGCTGTGTTTAACCCCTTGCGCCACCAGAGAGGCCCCAAGTCTTTCTCTTTAACATAATTATTTAAGTTTTAGAAAAGATTACTCAGAAACTTACCAACCCATAGGTCCCATTGTTTCTGCTCTTGTTTTCCCACGTTTTGCCTCTTTAAGCAATTCTTCTATTGCTTTCCTAATGGGGAAAAAGGATAAAGTTTGAAAGGTAGTCAGTGATTAATGTGGAAAGTCAATTCATCCCAGGTATATGATCTTGGGAAGAGAAGGGCATTTGAAGCATGAAACTTCAAAACTGGTGGAGAAATTTTTCAAAATTATAAAATTAAAAAGAAACTTTTTATAGGAAGAGAAAAACACAAAAAAGAAAAAACAAGATAACAATGTATACCTACATTTAAAATGTTCAAATGCCATTAATTCTAAGAAATACTATCTAGTTCAACAATGAAAAATCTGTTCTGCCTATCAGTTAGGGAGAGAATAGAGAAATACTCACTCTTTCTCTATAATGGGGACTAAAGCTGATAGAAGAGATTTGGAAGAAATTTGGTAACATGAGCAAGTCTTAAATAATGTATAGCTGTTAACTATATCCCAAGAAAGCTTTCAAACAAGAATGCAAGACTATGTACAAGGATACTTTTAAAATTGTTGATAACTAAAGAAAAACAAAGTTAAATGTTTATTAAAAAAGGACTGGTAGCTTAGACAGTCATTAAAAATGAAGATAAATGAATATTTAGCACAGAAAATCAGTCATAACATGTTTAGCTTATAAAGTGGGCACAAAAAGTACACATAGGATAATTTGATTATACATTTATTTACAGGAATATATTGTACAGGAAAACATTTGGAGGAATGTTATCAAAATGTTAAGATCAGTTTTGAGGTGATTTTTATTTCTTGGCTTGCTCTCTGCATTTTTTATTTTTTTCTAGAGTAAATCTAAATTATTTGTGTAATTTTTAGAAAAAGAACCCAGAAATCTTATTTAGCAACCATATTGTGGTTGCTATGTCTTACTATGTCTAAGAGACCTTACTATGTCTAAGACACTGTACAAGGTACTACAAGTAGTAACATAAGAAGATCACCATCACTGGCATTAATATCACTTGTGATATATAAATCAAGTTAAGAAAATGAGCAGTGTAAAGGTGGAAACAAAAGTAGTCCAAAAACATAACTATAAATCAAATCACAAAGTTCTGAAGCTGATTATATAAAATATATATAATTATATAGATTATATATTCTACATTATATAGAGGCTACATAAAGAATGTGTTAGTTTATAAAAACACTGTTTAATACTTTTATTTTAACAAAGATGCAGATAGTTTAAAAAGACCAATATTAATGATTTTTAATAAAATACAGCACTCACCTTTACCTACCCCACTAAATAGCTAATTTCAACCTTTAAAAAATCTGTTTCTCCTGGTATTTACCTACATTTTTTAATAGAATACTTTCAAACTATTTCAACTCCTTAACAGATATAGCTGGGTATTTTTGTGTAACTTACACATTTAAAATAAATTCCTACTAAGAGTGAGAGCCCTAAAAAATGCCTTTTCAGTTAATTCAGTGGCTTGATACTTTCTGGGAGGATCCACACTGACAGTCAATGAAGAACTGAAACCCTGACCAACTTGTGCAACTTCTTACCCCTGTACTCACTCAATCAGATTGTTTCACAGTCCAGCCTCATGGGAGTATGAAGAGATAGTGCATCTGATTGCTACATATCCTTCTTCCACCTCTTTAAAATAATAATAATATATACTGCTGTAACCTTAGAGCTCTATATCATACAGTGCTTCATAAAAATTTATCCCATCTAGCTCTAGAACATAGATCTTTTTTATTCTTATGAATATAAGTAAAAAAAAAAAAATCAATGAGTAAAAATATTCTAAGTACAACTCCCCCCATAGATTAGTGAGGCAGTTTCCAAATAAAAACAAGTAATCATACTTGGATTCACCTATGTGCTGTGTCTCCTCCTGACAAAAGAAACAGTCAAATGCCATCAGCAAAAAAAAAAACATCGCAGCAACATGGATGGAGCTAGAAGGGATTATGCTCAGTGAAATAAGCCAGAAAGAAAAAGAAAAATATCGGATGGTTTCACTTACAGGAGGAATGTAGGGGAACCAAATAAGGGATCAGGAATAAAAAATAATTATAACAAATTAAAAAAATTAATAGGCAAGTATAAATCAGAGACATTCTGCAGGGGACGGGGAGGAGAGGGATCAAAACAGAGGAGGGAAGAGCACAAGGGACTATGGTGATGGTGCACAGGTGAATTGGTGGTGGGAATTTTACCGGGACTACACCTGAGAGGAGAAAGCATGCATTTTACAAAAAGGAAGAATGATGTAAAATATATAAACAAACATGATTGACCAGTTTCCCAAATTTTGAATAAACTATGTAACATTTACAAATGAAGTAGAATGCATTTTCCCATTATAACTGTATTAAAATGTTTGTTAATCCTTGTGGATCAGTCTACAAAGTCAATTTGTCTCATAAGACTGATGAAATGCTGCATGTCTTCAGAATACAATACTCATCTGAGAAACTTGCAGAGATCCTGAAGGCATGTTCCAAAGCTATGAAGTATGACATTGATTCTTCTGTAGTTCCAATTTCATTTAAAACTATCTCTAGCACTATTATTAAATTTATTTGCCACCATTAATAAGACCTTTTGATTTACAACTACAAACAAAGAAAAGTAAGGTATACGTAGGAGAAAGACTGCCTGGGGTGAAACAAATTCCCCAGTGATGAAAGGTGGTAATAGGCGGGTTCAGACTGGGCGGGACTGGCACTCAATAGGTCCGGCCTCTCTGGGGTAAAGACAGCTTAGTTTCTGTCCCCAGCAAATGTGGGAGGCAATGCCCCATTCCTACGATTGGGTGTACCCAATTTAAGTACACCCAAGTTAGGTATTTGTATTGGCTTAACAACTAATGTTGGTATGCAGCTTTCTTTACTATTCACAAAATCACTATCCTATCTGACCATAATAACATAGTTACCATAACCAGTTTATAGACGGAACAAAGTCCCAATGGGGGCACCAACTAAGGTGCTCAAGGTAATGCTGCTTGCTAATGATTAGAGGTAAGAAGGAGGAGGAACAAAATCAAACCAAGGGCTCAGGTGTTTAAGACTACATGTCTTCTGATCTTTCTATTATACCTCTCATCTCCTCCATAAACATTTGCACAGAAAAGTTCTGGAGAAATTGTTTTCTCTTTATCATTACAGGCAAAAAACAAGTGAGGGGGGAAAAAAGCTAAACAGTTGCTACTGCTTCTGCACTCACTCAAAGAAAACTGGACGACAGGCTGACAATGGAGAGGCGGAGGAATGAAGGAGGACTGATTACTATTTTGTCCCAAGAATGTTGAGCATTCGATACCTCCCACCCCATATTCTCTTGCACAAGCTACTTCTGCAGGACTTTACTTTCAAATAGGAAAACAACAATTTTCAGTAATCATGCATTCTGTCCTTGAAATAAAAATTCAAAATTAAGGGGAACAAAATACAGGTAGTTTTCTTCTATTTTTTTCTCTGCCACTCTCACTAATGAATCTTGGTTAAGAAAATAACAAATCCAGAATCGATTGCACATAATCACTGAGGCTAAATACTTACATTAGCAAGGATTATGAAACATCACATGAATGAAACAAGATAGTTTTTAAAGACATGATGAAACAGAAGTGTAAACTGCAATTAAAATATAGGAAAAGCAAAAGCAGAATATATAAGAATTAGGAATTAAGTACATAGAGAAATTGAACAATTACAAAAATATTCTGACATAGATTAAGTTCTAGCTAGTTACTTTTACACTTGCATTCTTGAAACATCTCAAAAAATTCCTTATAAAATAAATTCATTGTATTAGAATACATGCAAAATAATAAAAATAATACAAAAAAGAAGTCCAAGAAAAATAAGTCATTAAGCAGTTTTCTGAGCATACGAACAAACTATATTTTCAATGATCCCTGTGTCTATCATCTACAGCCAATTTTCCATTCTAGTTCAGCTTCCTCAGACCTGTCTTTTCATTCCATTAGCCAGCTTGTACATGCTTAAGGAATGTAAACTGGTCATAATGGCAGCTTCAATAAAACCCAAGTGGGGATACAAATCTAGTACAAAATCACTTTAAGATCAAAGTCAAACAAATTAGGTTAGAGTTATCTCTGTTTCTTTTCACTCCCATAAGTCAAATGAGAGTTAAACATATCAGTATAAAGAAAGGGAGGTAAGAAATTTAAGGCAACTAAAATAAAACAGAAATTAAAGGTAAAATAATCGAGAACATAAGGAAATGAGATTTTTAAAGGAATAAAATCAGAGAAACTAAATATCAAGTAGTAGTTGCTCAAAAAAGAAAAAATGATAGTCAGATGGAATCACAAGCACTGTCTTGAGCAATGATGAAGGAAAGTGTTAGGGACCAAATGTTGATACATCCTAAAATTTACATGTTGAAATCCTAGCCCCAGTGTGGTGATATTAGGCGGTGAGGCTTTTGGAAGTAATTATCAACAGGGTGGAGCTCTCATGAATGGAATTAGTGCTCTTATAAAAAGAGATCCCAGATAGCTCTTTTCTTTTTCTGCCATGTGAGGACAAAATCAGAAGAGGGCCATGGAGGAACCAGGAAGCAGGTCCTCACCAGATGTGGTATATGCTGGTACCTGATCTCAGAGACCCAGTCCTGAGAACTGTACTTCATTACAGAAGCCTGGATGGACTAAAACAGGCAACTAAAAATTTAAGGCTGAACTTTAGATGCTTTCCACATGTTGTGCCTTCCCCCAGTCTTTAAAGTCACCCCAATTAACTAACTGTATAGTATCTGTCACATGAGGGATGGAAAAGAGGTTCAAATAAAGCAATAAATCAAGTAAGACCACCCTGAAGGTCTTAATTGTTCAAACAGGTATGACTTGGTGACAAGTACACAAACCACTGGCTGCTGCTGACTGGGAAGACAGTAACTGTCCCGGCACACACCAGGACCAATGTTGAAGGCAGCCAGTTTATACCTGTCATCACTTAAATTATCCAAAGAGATACTGGGTAGATACTTATGAGGAACTTCACTATAGCAACTATAGTCTTCCCCAAATGGAGTGATAAGGCTT